TCTACAATGAACAGAAGTAATAAACATTTCTCCCAAACACACAGAAGCACACGCTTTGCAGTCAAACTGTTATTTGTATCATGTGGATTCCTTCTTGCTCTTAAACAGCTTTTTCCAGACTTCTCTGACATTTGTTTTTTCAGTGTTTAAGTAGCAAACTGCCATTCGGTAGAACACTGGCACAGCTCCAGGACCTGGAAAAGCTTGAGTCAGAATCACATAGCTGCCTCCTACCTCTCCCTTCCAGTGTCCAAGGAATCAATGGAATATGGGCATATTTGTATACCGCTCAGAAATCCAGGAAAGATCAGAGTGCAACCCTTTTGGGTGTCTCAAAAAATAATTATAAAAAAGACACTTTATTGGGTATTTTTGCTGTTGTTTTCATAGCAAAAAAAGACTTGTTCTGAGAATGCCATGCCTAGAAGATTGATGGTTTCACCAACTATTCTTCTTTGGAGGTATTTTTTTTGTCTCAGATGTGCATCACCAACTCCAACAGATGAGTTACCGTTACTGGCATATAATGTAAACTACACTGCTAAAAACTGCATCACTTCATTATACAGAAGCCATGATTCTGAGCCAGATGTAAGCTACAGATGGATATGTGTAATGAGAGTTTGTGTATCAGTTGGCTTTTAACGAATATGATTATACATAACAGTGTAGATTTTTCTTTTCCATAATACTACTAGCTTACTACTCCTTTTAATTAGGTCCTCTATAACATAGGATTAAGTATTTTCTGTGAACGACATCAACCACACTGTGAAAACTGGTAACCTGGCAATTTAGAACTGTGAACGAATCCAGTGAATCCAGGGTTTCTACCTACTAACATTATTTTCTGCCTTCTTTTGTTGTTTATTTAAATCTGAACAAAGATATTCAACATGCCAAAATCTGAATCACTCTCCAAACTCACTTCTTCGGTATTTCAGAAAGAATGGGAAAAAAACCCAAAATTCCTGTGCTCAAGGTGAGGAGAAATCTTTTGTACTATCCCAGAGTATAAACAAGTTGGATGGGGCTGTGAGCAACCTGATCTAGTTGAAGATGTCCCTGCTCGTTGCAGTGGGCGTTGGACTAGATGACCTTTAAAGTTCCCTTCCAACCCAAACTATTCTATGATTCTATAAATGCAAGTAAATTCTTCAGTACAGAAGCCCTTGAATAGAACAGTCTCCCAAAAAATAAAAGAAACAGATTGTAAAAGAAAAGAAAGTCACTGAAAACATAATCCAAATAGATAATACTGTGAGCTTACTGGTCTGCAGAAATTTCAAAGCACAAATTTCTGACTAGAATGCAACAAGAAAAACTAAGAGGAAGTGGGGATAAAAGATCTGCTTTAAGCTGTTCACATTTCCTAAACATCCATCAAATTAGCTCCTACTTGGAACGTGATGGCAACAAGAATTATGATGGTTAAGATAAGGAAACTGGGACAGTTAAAGCATTCCTGTTTCTGTGCTAGTGGAAAATAACTCTTACACGTCTTGTAATACATAGGGGCCTCCTCTGGTATCTTGGCCCTCAATGTAGCATATAAATACTGTTCTTACTGTGATTTATGATGTTTTTAATTTGTACGTACAGTTTATACCAGCACAACAAAAATTACAACTGTATATATGAAATTCATTGTGGCATCCAGTGAGCAGGCCACCTCTGACTAATCATACGGCACAGTTCTTAATTCTGAAGATACTCCCACGGTAGCTTTGATTACAAAGACAAAACACAAAAATGCACTGACCATTTAATATTTTTCATGTCATTGTGCCTCATTATACAATAAAAATAACATTTTAATAAAAAATTTATATTGTGGTTGTGTCATATAATTGTACTTAGGAAGACAATTTAGGGATGTATACCTATGTATTTAATAATACCTCTCACAAAAGAACATCAGATACACTTTCAAGGAATGACTAACGTAGTCCTATGGTGTGTAGAAATTCACCACTGAAAAACTAGTAATGTTTATATATGGCGTGTCTAGATATATTTGCTGTCATTTTGTCTCTGAAAAAATTCAATTTTGCTGCATCCTCTGCTTCAGGGAAGGTCTCTGTGATGTTAGAAGAGCTGGCAGATGCTTAGACTTCCTACAGATACTTGTGAACCCAAATAGGCAAGCAAAAAGCACCTGAAGTTATGAGACACAATGTGAATATCAATGGAGTGAGAAACTGTTCTCAGCCGAATTACTACTTATAATCTACTGTCAGACTTAAGCACTCAGAATGTATAAAAACAGGTGAAGAGAAATTTTCAGATACTTCAGCAGAAGCACAACAAGCAAATATAATTCATTTTTGCAGGTAACTCTAGGATGAACTAAGTACAGCTTGATCGGCTCAAAGAAATTTGACTAGACAACAAATTGAAGTAAAAGTGAAAGTTTTCTATTTTAGTAATACTAGTTGTAGATAATTAATATTAACTCTATTGCAATAATACGGGAAATGTTCAAATTCCCAAGAAAATATTTTCTTTATTCTCTGTAAGACATTGAAATGTTAGGCTGCATTTTCCCTTTAATGTTTTAAAAAAATGCTACCCATACCTACTACTAATATTACACATATTAAGAAGCCACTGAGCTCTACAGGTATGTGCACCATGAGACATACAAAACACAATTCTCTTTCAAAATGAGTGCATGCTGAACAGATTGCATATGGCAAGACGATATTCCATTAGGAAGTGCAGGCACACAGGAAAAGCTGTTTGCTCATTCACTTGAGAGTATCTGATATTATTAGATTTATATCTTGTATTTTTGGGAAAGAAAGATACAAGGGCTGTTAGAGCAGTCCATAGAGCAAGATCAATTAATCAGACACAAAAACTGAAGAAAAACTAAAGATTATTGTGAAAATAAACTCACATGTTGAATCTAAGCTTAAAGTGTTGATATTAAAATTACAAATGCCTTAAATGGATCTTTTCTGTATTCATTACAACAATAATTCTGCAAATGCCAACTATAAATTTATTTAGCTTGCTGGCAAATGTTAATTAGAATTACTAGTCGCCATGTCTTATTCCCATTAACATCAACAGAAACTTGCTGATTGAGCTTGAAAGGAGGTGTCCCTTAGATGAGAACAGATGACAATTTGTCAGATTAATTGCTGTTCTTTCTTACATCTTTCAGAGGTAATGAGTGTAATTAGCTCTTCACTTCCTAGAGAAAACAGGTTTCACTGCAGTAATTGCATAAAATAGGTTTTTGTATTCTTATACAAAAGAATTCCTCTGATGTTGGCAAATTAGAGTCAAGTCAATTGAACTAAAGATTACACATGAAGTTTTTATACAAGATGAACTTCCTTTCTGAGCAGTGACTGACTGAAAAATGGGTTAAACATTATAACACCAGTTGCATGCATAGGATTTAATCAAGCAAAGCTTCCACTGCAACCTTGAAATAACTTGTCCTAATCTTGCAAGAAAGACAGAAGCCGTTTGAGACAGTTTACCCACTAAATTGTTATCGCTTAAGACAGTATTTTCAAATTCCTCACTACTACTGTCTTACCAAATACAGAAAAAGAAAAAAAAAATCTGTAAAGGTTAAAAGCTATTGGGGTAAATTTAGTAATAACTGAGTGAAATGTAGCAGCCTATTATACAAAGAAATTAGACTAGATATTTTTTAATAATCTCTGAACCTATAAAAATATCAAAAGATAAAAAGTTAACATTGCGCTCACAGCCTCTGAAGCTGACAAAGCACATTACTATTAAAAGCAGCTCAACATAATAAACCATCCATACTTAAGATAATCACTGTTGTATCTAAGCATGTTAAAAAAATCTCTGAAATATTTATTCTCACAATCCACTGACAGATAAGAAAATAATTCTATTTTCTGGTGGTGAACTGATACACAGAGAAGCCAAAGACTACATCAGCAAAGAACTCAAGCACCTAATTTCTGTTTGCTTCCCAAACTACATATAAGTCCAAACCCAAATCCCTCAAATCTTCACTGATAACTCTGGATTCAACTAGCCTCCACCACTAGTTCTCTTTCTATCAAGGTTCTGTAAGTGCCTTGACTATATCTACTAATTAGATATTCAAGACCCTTATGGACAGCCCAAGAAAGGCTGTATTGTCTGAAGATACAGATCAAGATCTGCATTCAAAAACAACCTGACAGATGCTGCACTCTCATCACCCAAACACTCTTTACCAAATAAACCAATGAGCAGGGTATAGGAAATCCAGCTTCCTTTTCTTCTTGGTTTTATGTGTCAAAGCATGCAACCCATACCTCATACAGCCAGGCAGTCCTACACATTAGAGCTCCTGGTTTTCAGCACTGAACAGATCCAAGTATCCTGAATTATGTCACAATAGGCAAGACAGTATAATGAATGATAGTTAAGTATGGTTAAGGCACTTACTGGAGTAGGTGAAGAGGTACTGATATACTTTATTATTTTGTCTGAAACAGATACAATGCGCAAATATCTACTGAAACTAGGTTTCTAATCCAAAGACTCCCTCTTTCCAAGAAAGTGTACTCCTGTATCTAAGTCACTAATATTTAAATTGTTCTGGTTCAGCGGAAGAGTCTTAACAAGACAAACTGGGGGAAATACGCTTTTGGGATGTCATGTTTCCAGGAAGTTCAACTTTGGATCACTACCAATGAGGAAAAAAGCCAAGCTTGTTATGAATGATCTGAGCTTTTCAAACAGAAGGAAAGATGGCAACTTTCCCCTGAGATCTTCCACCTATTTTTAATGAATGTGGCATCTATAAACTTTTATCATTATTTTGAACAGACAACCTATGTTATTTATGTCACAACATTACAGGACCAAGAGAAACTGCAGGTAAAGTCAGGTAGATACTGTTCACATGATCAGTATGCTACAGGCGCAGTACTGCCACAGAGTAAGCCCTGATCTTTCTTACCTACGTCAACAAATTTGCCATAAGAAGTACCAAGAAACAAATGAAGGCTTACCATTCCCACACCACAAACCGTTCCATCAGCCAAAGGCATGTGCTGAGTACGACAACCCTTGTGAACACCTTCTGTGCTTGTGCACCATAAGCGTTTGCATTGTTTCTAAAAAGAAAACAAGATTACTTTTGTTGTACCTGTGACACCACTTTAGACATTAGTTGGGACATCTGTATTGCTTTCTTATACCATGCGGGCTTAGTGTTTGTTATTAGTACTACCATTATTCACAGATAAAACCACACAAAACCAACATGGATTTTGCTAAAGGCCAGGCAGGAATGTGGAATATTTGAAACTGAACCCATTAGAAGTAATAGATAACTTCATTTCCTAATTTGGTAGAAAATTTAATCAAAAAGTATGTAAGAGGTTGAGGTTGATACTATGCAGCACAGTTTGCATATAATCCCCAGAAGACGACTCTAACTGCAATTGTTCTTAAAAATACACTGACTAGAAAAATAAGAAAGACTCCTTTTCAAATTGTTAAAAGACTCCTAATGGACAACTAACCTTTATGGATTACAAAATTTACAAAGCAGTCTTCAGTAATACCATCTTCAGGTCTTTGAATCTCCCTTTACTTTTCTATAATATTCTCATAAAGCCTGACTCCTCCTAAACAACATTTTACCTCATCAAAAGCTCCACTTAATTCAGTCTAAATCTGATCTTAAATTCTCTCCTTTAAACAGCTCCAACAAGCCATGCAATACTAGTAGAGGTATTTGGCAAATTGGTCTAAAATCTAACTCTACATCACCTCTTGACAGTAACGAATGAAGTCATAATGTTATATTTGTATTTATTTTATATTGCACTGGCCATTGGCATTTTCAAAATACAACTTAAGTTTCAATATGAATCTACTCATTTTCTTTCCAGATCCCAATTTTGCTTTAAAAAAATTTTTGGTTAATTATACAAAATGTACACTCTAACAGGCATGAAAATATTTTTTCTCTCTTTGACAAAGTAGAGAGAATCTACACTTTGGACAAAACATTTAGAACAAATATTTAAATTAAATATTAATTTTCAAGTTATAAATTTTTAAAAAGCACTAAAAGAAGCAGATAAGAAAGACCTGTTAATGTAAGATAAGAGCTGTAATGTGAAAACATTTGTAGGAAGTGTTGAAATAATTCCTTTTCAGTAGTTGCAGGAAGCCTTAATTTATGCAGCTTTAGATCTTTTAAAGGAATTATAATTACACTTATAGATGTGAAAATCAAAATGAATGTATCCTGCTTTTTAATTCTATATATTTCTAGCATATGGAGCTGCAGTACTCTCCACTGAACTCTTCCCCCTTCAACAGAATAGAACCCGAACTTTGACATATTTCAGGATAAAATTCTTCCAAAACCCTAAGTCATGAGATTCCATTTCTAAACCTACCCTTCAGTAATTTTTTAGTATAGATTGAGCATGACTGTGGGTGTTGTTCACTCACCAGATACGGGCACACGTGTGACCCAAGACCAAACATAAGTTCACACTGCTTGTTGACATCATACACTGATCCAGGCAGCTGAGAGGAAAGATCATATATTCTTCCACTAGGTTTGTCCAGGAGACATTCACCATAACCAGTACTGTTGTAAAAACAGGAACAAATTGTGAATAAATCGCTCTTAATTCATTGGGAGCCTAATCACACAACACTTACACATGCATATCTCAGTGGCATTACGAGTTTGCATGCTCACCTGTCTAGAATTAACTTAAATTAATTAAAATTAGTAAAATACCAGGTTACTTGATTTTCTTTTATTGGATTTTGCATTAGATCCACCAAAGAAAGCTTAAGTTTTTTTGCTTTCTGGCTGTAATTTCTCATTTTCACATTCTTACAGGAAAAAAAAAAAGATGGTGCTGCCTAAATTATTTGTCTAGATTGTAGTGCCTACCACTTATTTTTTAAATAAAAACTTCCAAAAATAAAGTGTTCCTATTCTGGCCTACTAAAGTCATACTAAAGATATTTGCAATGACCAACGCCACTACATTAAAAAAAAAAAATCTTCTTAGCTTTGCACGCTGAGTGCAACTTTAACATAAAGTTATGAATCATCCAGCGAGTTAAACACATGTATTTTTCTGGAGGATTGAGGCCCTACAAGTCAGTGGTTAAAGCCAAGAGCAACACAGAAACGGTATTTAAGCAATACCTTTAAAATACTTCTCAGGAACACATGAAATTGGAAAGCAAAACCATAGCATTACATTGATACTTACTCAAGAAATTCAGTGATATATTTTTGACTGCATTTTGACCAGGTCCATGGACTTGTATGGTAATTTAAAGTTGGAGCCATCACATGGTATTGATGTTTAATTCCAGCTTCTTTACATTTAAAACTGTCATCATGAGGCACGTTAAATCTAAAAAGCAAAAAAGACAAACTCCAAAACAGATTCAGCAATAATTAATTGAACCTCTCTTTGCTGTAGCAGCAAATGCTTCATTTTTGAGTTTGAAAATGCCTTAAAATTAAATGGGACTCACTTAATATGACTATCTGACATTATGGCAATAGGTATTTTAAAACACCTTACAAAATTTTCTCCTTATCCAAACCATTCCTAATTATATAATGCTGGGCACAGCAAGAATTTTACAATTACATAGTTCTTTAGCTCACCAGAAAAATTCAAGTGTTTTGGGAGTATGCCACTTTAAATGAATAACCCATCTCTTCGACTGAATATACAGGCCATGGCTAGACTGTCCATAACATATCACCCCAATATTCACATCGTAACTCTTGCTATTCAGTAACAAAAACAAACTGCAGAGCACATCAACACCATATTTATGCAACTAACACATCCTCTTGTTTTATATCTCAGTTTAAGTACCATGACAAATGGCATGTATCTAAATGAACTTCCAGGCACATGAAAATGAACAATCTAGCTACTCAGCTCTGTAACATCGTCGTTACCTACACTGTGGCATGCCTCATGGAGCTAGAGTATAGCACCTTTCTGCCATCACTGATGAGGTATGCTTCATAAAATAAAATGCTGTCATCTCCTCTTATTTTTCTGTGTAAAGTATTTCTCTTTGTGTTAGTCTACTGTATTCTGAAAGGATCAAACACAAGGAAGAATATTTCTGTGTTATATTAACAATTGTCTTTTCTTAAAGGTAAATTCCTATCAGGGCTAGAATGCAGTTGGAGTTAACAGGACTATATTGCACATCTACAATATCTGTCACAGTGTCCCAATCAGTTCATATGACAAAAGGACAGAATACAGCTGTATGGCCAGTATTTGCCGTAATTCAGGAAACCAACCAGGTTCTAAAATTCACAATTTCTCTACCTCTAGGTGACTGGCAGAGCTGGCTCACTGCTAGGGGCAAAAATAATGACTCTTCTAAGAGGACATAGCAGACTGCACCCTCTTAGAAATGTAGAGCCCATCACTGGAAACTGGTCAGATTGAAAACGAAATAAAAAAAATTTACCTGCTAGGAAATAGGTACTTACACATGTCCAAGCTCATGCGCTATAGTAAAAGCAGCACTCAATCCATTTTCTTCACTTATAGAACAGCTGCGTAGTGGGTCACACATTGTACCTAGCTCTGCTAAACCTGCAAAATTGAATCCTTATATAAAAGCTTAAGAGAATGAATTTTCATGTAGAAGGACTGACTCTATAAGCCAATACTATGGCACCAGAGTTGAAATTCATGCCTCAACCATGCAGAAAATTTACACAAAACAACCAACCACCTGGCACCAAAGTACGTGCCAGGGCAGAACAGCATTGACGAGTTAATTTTTTTGTCTGTGTGACTTAAATTTGCATCTATTTTCTGATTTATCCTTAATTTATTTTTCTCCCTACAGTGAAATTCTCATATATTTTCTGTTATAAAATCATAGAATCATCAAATCTTTGGGCTGGAACAGACCTTTTAATGTCATCTAGTCCAACCCCCAATCATACTGATTAAAAAAGAATAACTCACCAAGAGTATCACACTTCTCTCTAGCTCTGCAGATATCTTCCCTTGAAGGAAAAGATTTATTTGAAATTATTACAGCAAATAAAATAACATTTTTAAAGTATTTCACTGTTGCTATATTAATTACAACAATTGCAAATCTGATTCTCAATTTTTAATCTTACAGTCCATTCAAACAATTTGCATTCTAGTGAAAGAAGTAATTTAAATTCACCAGACTAAGCTCATAGTATTGCTTTCTACCTAGCTTGCAAAGAATGAAAATTAAAATACTATGTTATTTCACTACAATGCAGAAGGTAGATCAAGCAGAAATGCTGCTGAAAAACGTGCAGATTGCAGTATACTTGAAACTACCTTGTGTAATGGACCATCTGCCAAAATAGCAATGTAAAATTCAGGACAAATATCAGACAGTTTGTAAGTGCTGGAGTGTGTCCAACTTGAACATTGAGGGAAAAAAAATAATGAAAAAGAACAGCAAAAGAAAGAATATATTTCAGTGAATGAACATCAGAACCTTCACTGAGGCAATTGGTGTACAAGAACTATATATATGTATGTATATATATACTAATATTTAAATGTTTTCCATTTGTAAGCTTTTGGTAGTTCTAATTACACCTGTGTTACCAGGAGCTGATCGTTGTTGCATCCTTCAGCTGATTCCATTATGTACAACTCTCTGTCCTTATCACATACATGTACAATCGTTAAAGACTCCATTTCATTGTAACAATTTCAGGTCTAAGTAATTCCCATCATTTTTAATGAAAGGGTCATCAGATAGTTAGCTACCAACATAGCACTGTCAGAGTAATTGCTCATGTATTGATAATCAGTTATTTGGGAAATGCAAGATAGCCTCTATTCACTTCAATTATCTGTGAACATCAGTGGAATAGTTAAAAACTTATGTTGTAAAAAAGAAACTGAAGCATTTGTCTCACCTAGCTGAGTAATTATGGCTATTTCAGATACTGTACCTAGTGATAAGAACAGCCGTATCATGATGAGAAGGGTGAGCATCATCCAAAGTGTTTTGTGCTTGCTGCCATAAGCAAAAATTACGAAGAGTGGTAGCTGCATTAAAAGTGATAGCTGGTCCTTCCTAAGCAAGAAATAGCAAAAAAAAAAAAAACCCAACAAATAAGGGTTTTAATATTTATGCACTTGCACTTATTACTTTGACACTGGTGCCCCTAATCTGCAAAACAGTGACTGTGCATCAAAAGGAAGTCAGCAGGACTTCACGTAAGAGTTCACTCACACAGATTTGTTTGTAGGATCAGATCTTAATTTAGCTACAAGCCATCAGTCATGAGAACCCATTATTTTAATCAACATATCTGAGCATACACCATGTACTAAATATTAAAAAAAAAGAGTGACAAGACATTAATGATAAAGAAATATAAAAAGATGTATTTGAAAAGTGTATACTTCTTACAATCTTAATATATTATATCTGTTAGGGCTGAAAACCCTCCCTCAAAAACATCTATAAAAGCTGTCATTTCCCGGTAATGTTTCCATGCGTATAACCACACTTCAGGTACTTATGCCATAAGCTTTCATAGAGTATCTGATTTATGTCCATTTAGGTCAACAGGAGGTGCTAATAGTGAGATGGGGAAATACAGGCATTAAATGAAGGCTCTGCAGTTAACGTTGCGTTTGACATTTAGTCTCCTATTTTAAAACAAAATTTCATAGTTAAAGAAAATAATTTGTATATAAAACTAAAATTTTAAACTTTGGAATTACAGTGCAAATTCATGTATTTTGTTTCTTCTATTAGAAAGAAATCTTTTTAATATTTATTCATCCTACCTGTTCATTGTGAATTACAATTAGTTTTACAATAACTATATTTATAAGATTTCCAATACTTGAATCTTTATAGATTGCTGCAACCTAAAGAGAAAAAAATCAGAAGATTAGAATATTAAAGTCATCTGATAAACCAGATCTCTTTTTGTCATGCAAACAAGTTATCAAAGAAAAACAAGTTGCTACACAACAGACAGGTCATGCATCCATCTGTACGTTTTCACCCAAGGATATGGTGACAAACCCAAAATAGCTGCCCAGTTTTTAATATCCAAATAGCTATAATTTTATATTAATTTCCAAACAATTAGATACCATGTTGAAATTCTAGTGTAAAAAGTATACTTATTATACAATATAGAACTTGTAGCTTATTCATAAAATATCAAAGAAAGAGCAAAAGTAATGTCACTGCAACTGTCATAGACATAAACTGGTTTATGCAGACGATCTGTAGAATCAATACCTAAAATAATGAAGGGTTTTAGAGAGCAACTTTGAACCAATAAGTTTTTGCTCTTGTTTTTAATGGAAGCTGGTCTGAGTTGTAAACCTGTACTGAAAATATACATGACATGTACAAAGGTTTCTTTCCTCATTCATAAAATTCATATTTAGATACCCAACAGGCATTATTATATATAATCTTGCAGCCAGATAGTAAAAATCATGAGTCAATTCCATACACCAAAGTGAACCACTTTGAAAGTTATTCTTCATAAAAGCAGAAAAAAACTGTATTCATTCTCAGTAACAGCTTCAGACATCCCATCCATATGGATTCTACAATTTGGCTTAAAGCAGTTGTTGAATGACAGCTTTATCTAAACAAGAGTTGCCACCAAACACAGAAGTACTGGCTTTCTTCCCTCCTGACTTGTGCTAAGTCTGCAAGGCTACAAAAGTAACAGGATCAAGGAACTGATACAGCTGCAAAACAATTTTTTTTTCTTTTTTTTTTTGTATTATGTTATATTGATCAACATGATCTCATTCCTGGTGCAGCCCTTCCAACATAGGTGCTGACAGAGGGAAAGGTGCAGAAGAACAGACTTCTTTCAAAAGCAGCCTACACTTGAACTGGCTCAAATTGCTTGTGAAACCACAGCCTTGCTGTGTATGAATCCTATGTACCTGAGACGAAGTAATTCTGCTAAAGGTTGGAACGCACAAGAGCATTCGCTCCTGACTCATACCCTTCCTTTCTCTAAACTGGAGAGCGCACAACGTGCAGCGTTGTCCTTCGTTCTTTTGTTGATACACAAGCTGGAAATAGAGGATTTGATAAAGGCAGGGAAGGAGCCTGAGTATTGGAATCCATGTGGAGAACACATTTCAGAGCAGCGCAGCTATTGTCTGCTTCCTTCCATATGGACTCCATTCTTGGTTACTAACCAGCAAGTGTCCAATTATTCTGAGGTGGGAATAAGGAGCATCTCTCAAGCACTCACTGAAGAGTTCAATCAGGCATAGACACATTCAGAAAAACTTTATCAAAGAAAAGGTGCCTGTAAAGGTTCAAGCAGTATTTAGGCAGAAGAGGTTATCTGAATTTGAATGGAATAAAGTACCATTTTGCTACTATAAAAACTACTTTTAAACTACCACAAACTATCAAGTTCTTATAGTTTGAGATCCACTTTGATAAACCTAGAAAGGATATTTCTGGATATTTATCCTCCCCATGAAATATCACAAACAGTCAAGGTATGTTCCCAAATGAATTGTCATCTTATAATAACACAACACAATTTTCACATTCATCTCAGCTTATGTAACTAACAGTAAGCGAGCTGTCTAAATTCCTTCAATAGTCAATAGAGAAGGAGAAAGGATGAACTGTTGTATAGACATGCCTATCTGAAGATACATATTTAGATATATGTATTTTCCTACAAGACAGTAAGATAAGTTATTTCCTTTCTGCATTCCTTTACTATGGAGGGAGACAAGATGTCTAGATGAGGCTAGAGGAGATTAATTCCAGCCCAACCATTTCAAGTTTTGTTTTATTTCTCTTTAACAAAGAAAAAATAGAAGATGGTTTCATATGGCATTCCAATATCGTGTCAGAGGGGAATCTGAAATGAGATCTGTGAGGATCTTTGGCTTATAATGTGAAGACACTTGTCCCAAGGATTGACTCTTCTACCACTTAAGATGATATAAGAGCCACTCACAACAGTGAATTTGTTACAGCATAAACATATACAAGAAGATTACATGCATGGAACAGGTAATAAAGCCTGTTTCATGACTAGATTATAATGTTGAAACAGGCACAATAGAATTTATTTATAATACAATTTATTTATTATACAATTATTATTACAATATTATTTATAATACATCTTATTGTAGAAATACAATAAACAGAATCCTAGAATTATTTGAGTTGGAGTGGGCCCTTAAAGATCACCCAGTACAACACCCCAGCCACAGGCAGGGACATCTTTCACTAGATCAGGTTACTCAAAGCCCCGTCCAACCTGACCTTCAACTCTTCCAAGGCTGGGGCACATCCACAGCCTCTCTGGACAATCTGTTCCTGTGTCTCACCACCCTCAACATAAAAAAATTTCTTACCTATCCTCTTCCAGTTTAAAACTGTTACCCCTTGTCCTGTTAACTACAGACCTTAGTAAAAAGTCTCTCTTGATCTTATGACTCCTCTTTATATACTGGAAGGCTGCAATAAGGTCTCCCCAGAGCCTCTCTTCTCCAGGCTAAACAACCCCAATTCTCTCAGCCTTTCCTCATAGAGAACACTCTGATCATTTTTATGGCTCTCCTCTGGACCCACTCCAATATGTCCATGTCTTTCTTGTACTGAGGGCCCCACAGCTGGATGCAGTACTCCAGGCAGGGCCTCATAAGAGTGGAGTAGAAGGGAAGAATCATCTCCCTCAACCTGCTAGCTATGCTTCTTCGGACGGAGCCCAGGATACAGTTGGCTTTCTGGGCTGTGAGTGCACATTACCGGCTCATGTCCAGCTTTTCATCCACCAGCACCCACAAGTCCTCCACAGGGCTGCTCTCAATCCATTCATCTCCCAGTCTGTATCAATACTGGGTATTGCCCCAACCCAGCTGCAAGACCTTGCATTTGGCCCTGTTCATCTTTGTGAGGTTCACATGGGCCCACTTCTCAAGCCTGTCAAGGTTGCTCTGGATGGCATTGCTTCTATCAATTGATTCATTCAGCTTGGTGTCATCTGCAAACTTGCTGAGGGTGCACTCAATCCCACTGTGTATGTCACTGAAGAAGATATTATATAGTATGGGTCCCAATACAGACCCTTGAGGGACATCACTCATTACTGGTTTCCACTTGGACATTGAGCCATTGACTGTAACTCTTTGGACGTGGCCATCCAGCCAATTCCTTATCCATCTAAGAGTCGACCCATCAAACCCATCTCTCTCAAATTTAGTGGCCAGAATGTTGTAGGGGACCATATCAAAGGTCTTACAGAAGTCCAGGTAGATGACATCCATTGCTCTTCCCTTGTCCACTGATGCAGTCACTCCATTATAGAAGGCCACTAGATCAGTCAGAAACATCTTTTGATTAACTTGTAAATCAGACTAGTTAATATCTTGTTTTGAAACAGAAAGCTCTGAAATTCAGGGAACAGATGCATTTCACTGGTTGTCAAGTAAAGAGCATGCAGGTCACCTGAGGTAGTGATACTTGACACAGCGGACAAAAAGCAATACAGGATTTGTCCAGTTCTATATATCAAGTAGAATAGGCAAAGGCGTTGAGAACTAGATGGGGTGGTTAATTAGGTTCAGCTAACACCAAGTAATACCACGAGTGCCTAAACTGTGACTATCAACCTTCAGTGCAACATTACGCCTCAGTTTCTTAAAGGCCTCCTGTACCATAGTATGTGAAAGGAAGACTCATTTCTGATGCTGGGTGATTAGAATGATCTGGGCAAGGAATCCAAGCTGTAGCCTTTTTGGGACTAAAATTTAGGAGTTCTTGTTCTTGTTTATGGTTATTACTGTAGCTGATGGATGTTCCGTCATGTACATTACTAGTCCCTTGGAAAAAATCTGTTACTGTTGTGCAAGTGCTGGCTGTTGAAGTTATCTGCTAACAAAATCTGAAAACATAGAGGCGGCAAAGAAACCAACATAAAACCCAGTCAGCTGTCCTCCTTCCTGCCTGTTGACACAACGTTTATTTAAAATACTTAAGCAAAAGTATTTCTTCAAAACTCAATACAAGGTACTCATAGCTCAGAGGAGATGCATTAGACTGAGGAAGCATAAGAAGAGAGAAGAATATCCCATTGCACACCTGAAAAGAATCTGTTGCAGGACCTTCAACACCATATCCGTGCACCACATGAATTATCTACTGGCTATCTCTGGAGAACAGCTGAGGCCTGGAAACAATGTCACTTAGATGCCAGAGGCCAGCAGTTCTTGCCAGAATCTGAAGTGTACTTTCTTTCATTCTGAAGACAGGTAAGCTTGTGCTAAATGTAAAAGTAACACTGCTCTCATTAACTCTATGTTTGAGTGAAAGTATGGATCCTTTTTCTCATGGGCACTTTCATGACCTCCAAACATTTAGTTATTACCATTGCTTTCAAAAGATCACAGAGCAAGACTTTGTGCTGATAATGAGATGCCCTTACCAGTGAAGTAAGGTACATTCTGCAGGCTGGCTGAACACATGTGTGAAGAGAAAAATCCTGAGAGTTGAAAACCACAAACCAAACTTGAAGATTTACCTAGGGAACTGTACAGGCTAAAATCATCAACTGAGACTTGAAATGATAGATCAGTGCAGGGAAGTATCAAAGATCTGGAATAGGAGATAAGATTTCACTTATTTTTAGTGAAAAAAATAAAGGGATAAGTACTCCTGCTCCTGTATTCTATGGATATCTCTTTCAGTGCTCTCATTTTGGAAGCATTCATAAAAAACGATGATGAAACGGGATAGGAATTTGATAGAATATACCATTTCTTTACAATTTCCAGATCTACTTGCTTTACAGTGATCTAAATCCAAGCTTCACAAAAATAGGAGGTAATAGTCAAGACAAAGGGAAATTAGTTTC